CCAACCTATTCATTAGCTACTACTAGGGGTTTTAGATTTTCTTCTATTCAAAGTCTACTTTTTGTGTTAATTATAAGGATAGAAAATGACATTAGTGGCCAATTACCTAATTAGTTTGCATAAATCTCATTCCTATGGGCATGGGGAACTTCACTTTAAAGCAGTAGATAACAATGATCATCTTTATTTTCTTCATCAGTAGTCTGCTAAAAATGACTTTATACATCGAGGGTTAGTCAATAATTAGAAAGTCCACCATCACAATGAGTGTATGTACCATATCCCCCATAGTGATTGATAGAGTAATAGATTTTTTCATAATAATGGATTGGTTAATGAAACCAAAGATAAGCCATGATGGCAGCAAATCATTGTTTGAGAATCTCATGTGCTTAAAGGCCTAATATTGAATTAGTCCATTGTATTCTTGTTGTCAACCCAAATTCTCTTCACTTAAAAGTTAGCTAAAATAGTAAATACCATAATAAGGTCATTGCCATTGTCAATCAAAATGTTTATGTCATCTATAAATAATGTTACTCGTCAATAGTCTATTTGTTTTTAATTTTTTAGAAACCATGTTAATAGATATAACATTACACAAGCGAGACTTGTATTTTGATTTGTTATTGGCCAATCTTTGGTTACATAGACAATGACATGGATTATCCCCTAGATAAGGCATTTGCTAACTACCTTCACCTGGTAAGCCTATTCTGTCTATCCTAATGAACCATCGCCCTATTGACAAGTAAGTAGATAAGTTATTTTGCACTTGATAGGATGAACGAATTGATTATTAATCAAGCTTTTCAACCTTTCAATCTCCTTTTAAAAGGTAATACACTCATTAGTAAAGTGCCCCATATTAATTGATAACTATAGAGTCTTTTTACAGGGGATTAGTTGTTTAGTCTTTTAGGTAGTGGCCTCTTCTTAGTAGGTCCTAGAACAGGTCTTTGGGAAATGGCATTCAGGATTCAATGTGTTAATTAGTGTTTTTTGTTTAGGCTTGGTTACCATTTTTTTTTCTAGGGGCTTGGTTTTGGAATTGATAATTATCATGGAATCACTGACTATGAGTTTTAATCTATCTACAATAAACTCACGAACGCTTAAAAAACTATTCACCTTTGTCATTTTTATCAACTGCCTTAAGCTTTTTTACTTTAAAACCTTTCGAACTCTCTCATTAAGATAGTATAATTGGTCAAGTTTGCTTTCCATAGGAAAGTACCTAAAATGGTCGTGTCTTACCCTTAAGGTGAACACTTGGATGGCCCATTCAATGTTTAGATCTTTTATTTACAAGGTTGTTGCTTTGAATCTTTCAAAATATTGTCATAGGGTTTTATCAGGTTTTTATCTTATAGCTAATAAGCTCGCAAATGAGTGTACAATGAGTTTACTGTTGAGGAGATAGGTTAGGAACTATTTGTAAAGTGTATCGAAGCTATCAATGGTTATTAAAGCCACTAAACAAAACCATATGTGGGCTCTACTCCATAACATTATGGGAAAAACTCTGCATTTCATTGCATCTAAAACATTGTAGAGATCCATGAAGGTTCTGAAGTGGTCAAAGTGGTGTTCGAGGTTAGTAGTTCCATTGTAGGTTTTTTAGGGAGCTTAAGGGGGGGAAGGATATCTACCTATGTGATGGCTACAAATAGGGGGTCATGGTCATCTTTTAACCACTGTAAATCTTAATTACTTTCTCTTTTAAAATATGTCAGTTCTTGGCGAAAGACAGCAACTTGTGCTACTAATTTGCATTGTAGGTTTTGAAGGGTAAATGTTGTCTTAAGAAAACTAGGGGTAACTTTTAACATGTTAGGTTTTTGCTATGGCTCTCGAAAGAAAGAAGTAGTGCTCTCTTTAAGGTAGGGTTTTTCTTGTTATGATTGCTAGATGGCTTGCTAATAATGTTGGAATAGTCTCTGTTAGGTGACCACTTGAGCATTTAAGAGCTATATCTAGGTTATTAATGTATGGCTTAATTTTGGAGAAGATTGTTATATGTTTGTTTGTTACTTAAGGATCTATGAGGGTGGAAGTGTAACTTGCACTATAGAGGTAGTAAGAGGAATGTTTTGTTAGTAGGTTGTATTTATAGGTTGTGAGAACTGTAACTATTGTGTGGGGGTTGTATGGTTGAGTTTCAGGGTCTAATAGCAATTGTATGGACCAAATAAGGGGCCAATGACACATTTGGAGACAAAACTCCAATTAAGTTCTGATAATAACTCACTGGTTATGAGGTCCAAGCATTCAAAAGCATAGCATTACTAGTAAATGGGAGAACAATATCATATCTCAATGTCCATGAGGGGAGATTTGGTGATAGAATTTGTTGAAGGGTTGGAAACATGGTCGTAGTGTCAGAAGCAATTATAGGTTAGGTAGTCACTTAAGTGGTTAGGGTTGTTGTTTCTAAAAAATAAGGGTGAAACATGGTTGTCGTTCCTATAGGTGGTGCCAATTGTTAATGGTGATATGGAAGACAAGCTACGATTGGTTTGTACTTACAATAGGAAAGTACAATCAAAAGGCGTCAAACTTAATTCTCTGAGATGCGTTCCAATGCCCAGATTAGTCAAATGTCTAGGGTTTCTTAGAGGAAGAAGATAAGTTACAGAGAATGTTAAAAAAGCTTAAGAATGGTTTAGAAATTTGTACCTAAACATCCTTTTTACCTTATAAATGAGACAATAGGCGGTGATGTGACTAAGATTTTTTATAGTTGATGAGAAGTATATGTAGAGCTCAATGAAGGGCCAAGTGCATAAGTGTGAGCTGCATTTAATGATCATAGACATGCATTTAATACTCTAAGAAAATTGAAGGCTAGTTGGTCTAGTGTGAGGTGATTAACTGATAGAATGTTAGTGGTGGTAGTTAGGTGAGCCTTTCCCATAGGCAAAGGGGTAGGAGCGAGCCTATGTTGTGACAAAAAGTCTGGATGTCGATCCTTTTTAATGGTAACGTGGTAGTCAGGCGTTTACTAACTTAGCGAGTGTGGAAGTTGACTTTGTTGATTGAATAGGTAGGTATAATAATTGTTGTGCCATTTTAGCTTATCTGATGAAGCATGTGGTCATGGGTTTTATTCCCACAAATTGCACCAATTATTTATAATGTTTTAGGTGAAAATGAGCTAGATAGTGATTTGATAAATAATTTGGGACTGATTTGTTCTTGTAGTAGGAAAGTACGATCAAAAGACATCAGATTGTTCCAATAGGATATTAATGGTGATAGTTGAGTGAGCTTTTCCCACGATGAAAGCATAAGGGCAAACCCGTGGTGAGAAATCTAAATTTCAATCCTTTTTTAATAATAACATGATAGTCGAATGTATACTAATTTGACAAGTATGAAGGTTGATTTTATTAACTAATTTGGTAGGTATAACAATTTACTTGATAGTAGATCCAATTATATTTTTAAAAAGACACATATAATTATATTAGAAGTATATAAAATATTGCCTAAAGGAAAATATGCTTGTATAATTAATTGCATCCTACCTAATGAATAAGAAGTAGACTTTTTTTTTATGGCCAATAAGAAGTAGACATATTTTAACATCATAACATTGCACGTATGGCAATAAAAATAGTAAATTGCATATGAAGAGATCATTTGTATTAACAATAACTTAATTGAAATTTTTAGCTCATACATTTTTTTTATTTTTACGATAAAATTGTTACTTTTTTTTTAAGTAATCCATATCAAAATTAGTCATTTATGCACCATATGGACTTCTTAACTTTCAACTTCTTGAATTGTCAGCTTATTTTTTGTTTAAAATACATGTTGATTATCTCAAATTCAATATCCTAATTTAAAAAAAAAAAAACAAAATAAGATTAATGTTATAAATGATCCCTAAATTATAATAAAACGTTTAATGTGATACATAAATTTTAAAAATCTCTAATATAACACATGAACTATGAATCTATTAACTAATGTGATAATCACTTTTAACATGATTAATTTCAAATGATAACATGTGACGAACAAATAATTCTTCAAATATCACTTTAATTAACAGATTTATAATTTAGATACTAAATTAAAAAATTTTTAAATTCAAATAATATATTAAATATTTCGATATAGTTTAAGATTATATCTAAGTACTGATAATTGGTATACCAAAAAGAAAATGGGTTTTTATCAACCACAATTTGCAAAGATTCACAATATCAATTTTCAATTTATCATTCTGGTCCCTATACATGTTGCATATCTTGATACATAGGAGATATCATAAAAAATGCTGAATTTTTGTACATTTAAATGATATTTTCTCGACCTAATAAATCTATGAATTCCCATAAGAAACTTGATATTTCCACCAACATTTGCTAAAACGAAACAAAAGAAAAAGCAAAAAAGGCATTTTTTGAAACACTGATGCTAAGTTCTAAATTTTTGCAAATACACCAAAACCAAAGAGGACCAGATGACTTACCATCCGGCTCGCTTCTTGCAATCCTTGAACACCCAAGTCCAAAAGTTTTGGGTTGAAATCATAGCTAGCAAACCTAAACTATAGAGATTTTCTTATGATGGTAGCTACATACTTCTTACATCATCACTGAATTCTGACTGAGTTTCCTTCTGGTTGAGCTGCAAAACTATGGTTATCAAACTATGTTGATAAGTGGTCAAGGGTTGATATCCCCTCCTTAAGAGGGCTAAGATCAAGGCTCCAATGTCCTTATCTCCAAAACAAGAACAAGAACAGGAATTGTTCCTCTGATGCTGCACAACTCAACTGCACACAATCTCTGCAACAAAATTCAGCCTTTCGAGCATGGCACACTACACAATATATGCATAGCTAGACAAAGCCATGATAAGTACAGGCACAAAGATGTAAATATTATATCCTGGTGACCTAGTACTCAAAATGAGATTGCAAGATACGGAAAGTCCAAGCAAAACAATACTAAAACTTGAAACATAGAGAGGGATTTCAAGGCTCAAAACCAACATATAGAGAATATATTCATTTTAGATCTTGGGGGCTAAAATGTTTCAAATTGAAACTTTAGTCCACAAAATTGAAATTCAAAATGTGTAACATCTGAAATAAATCCCATTTTTTCAAATTTCAATAGACCACATATGCCAAATAATAACAAAAACCATAACAATTTACAGCAGAACCGAACTTAGCATGCATGAAGGCTGAATACAGGGGATATTGTCGGCCAATTTCTCTTGAGCAACTTCAGACTTTTGGTTCAAAAATTTTAATGCTATAAAAGGAAATCAGGTATCACAGGTGTTTGTACAGAAAAATTAAAAGGCTCTTCAGCTCTTTGTCCAGATTTATGCATACCATGGCGATGACTACTCTTTTCTTTTAATTTCTGACCATTATCTTTTCTTTCCTCAGCATTCTTCTTCCTTGGACTTCTATGTCTTCTCTCTTTACCATGACTATGGTGTTTTCTCCTCCTTGAACTAGGATTTCCATGGTCAACTAAATTTTCTTTTGATTCCACATGAGAATCTGTATGTTGTTTTTCCTTCCCTTTTCTCTTGCTAGATGGCATATCAGAAAGGTTGCTTTGTGATGAAGTTGGTACAATATCTTCACTACCAAAAAGAACATCATGCACAGCACCTGAAAGTGAATCTTCCTTAGACTCAGGTTTCTCATCCACTTCATCCAATTTCACCACAACAGGCCTAGGCTTGGCATGGTTTGGTTTTCTCTTAGGTGTAAGTGATTCCTCTGTAAGTTTAACAAGATCATCAGCATTATCATTGATATTACCCAGTAACATGGGGTCATTGGCAGGAGGATAATCATTTGAAATCATTTCACTCTTCCCCGAAGGAAGATAATACAACCCATGGCGCTTACGGTGCTCCGCTAACAGAGATGTGGACTCATTTGATTGCCTAGAGTTTTCTTTGATCTGAAGGTTAGAGAAAGAAACACCACCCTTCTCCTCATAAGGACTTCCAAAAGAAAATGAGTTTGATGAAGGTTGATCAATGTCACCACAGATCATTTCCAAGTCGCCGAGGTTCTCCTTAAGCATTAACCCATCTGGTAGACAAATTTTTCCCTGGGCGCTTGAAGAGACGGGACCAAGCTCCTTAGAAAAGGCACCATGCATCAGTTCTATGGTTTTGGAAGCTTCCGCTCCTTTTCTCTCTGAATCATTTTCCTCTTGAACTGAAGAATTAAGTAAGTCCAGTTTTGTCAAATCAACAAAGCCAAGCACATTCCGCGCTCTCTCCTGTATTTCTACATCATGGCTTCCTAATAGAGGACCCAAAGCCAATTCAACCAGATTCAACAGGTTTACAATGGATTCATTGGTGATAGAGGCAGAGGTACATGTTGGGCCATGAGTATCAGTTGCATCCACAACGTTTTCAACAGACAGATCATCAAATGATTCATAGGACACAGATGCTGAAACTGCTGAGGGCAAATTATCAGGAAACATAGACGAAGCAGTACTTCCCCTTTGCATGAGGTAAGTAAGTAGGCAAAAAACTAAAACTTTAAAGGCAGACTGAATATAAATTGCCGTAATAGATGGTGGCAACAAACTAGTGCGAGGTTGTAATAGTGCTTCCATAAGCTCTAATGGGTTCCTTGAATACTCAACATATTCTCCAGACACCCAAGCTGCAGCAGATAATAGCCTATGCAAGAAAGAATTCCCAAGTAAGGCAGGATCAATCAGCAGATCACGACTAACACAAACAAGTTCTGGCCTAACATCCTTGACCCTCATACCAATATCAATTAGTTGATTTTCAATTTCTTCTCCCTTCTGGCAATGTGGGATTCTTGACATCTCCCCAAGAAGTGATACATACCAATCAAAATCAACAATAATCTCATATACATTCCTAGAACAAGTTGATAAAATAGAACCAAGAATCTCATTACAAAAATCAGGATCAGATTTAAGTGCATAATTGACCAAAACTCTGGAAATTTCAGCCACATTATGTTCAGATACCAATGCCATCACAAGACGCAATGACTCAATCTTAATATTAGGATCTGCATCACTCAATGACTTAATCACAAATTCCTTATTCTCTGAAACTGCCCACAAATGCTTCGGTGCTACAATGGAAAGTGCCTGTAATCCAAGATACTTAAGATTCGGATCCTCATCCACCAAAAACTCCCGAACCTTTCCCACTGCAAGCCTCACGGCAGAATCATTCTCAATCAAACTAGTAACCACAGTCCTAACACACTCAAACACCAATGACTTTGCCCCAGTTCTCCTCATATGATCACAAATGGGCTCAACAACCCGTTTGGCTAACCTTGGTTCCAGAGGAGCCAACTTAGCAAAAATCTTCAACACCTTAATCAAAACCCAATTGTTTTTTGAATCAACCAAAATCTTATAAAACTCAGGTGCCAACGGAAGGTATGATATGGGATCTTTACTAGCAAGTTCACAAAACACCCCGACGACAGCAGATAAAACCTGGGGATCAGAATTCTCTAAATTTTCAACTAAGCGTTTAAAACACACCCTAACAGATTCTGGGTATTTCTCAAAAACCCTTAAAACTACAGCCACTGCCTTTTTTCGAACATAAAGTTTATTACTAGACAGTAAAGTGAAAATTTCCGGGGTCAAATCTCTAGCAAGATCAACATTTGCGATTCTAGATAAGCATTGAAGAGATAAACTTACTTCAAACTCATTGGTACTCGAAAGATCCTTGCGCAAATGATTAGTTATAAGGAGAAGAACAGGGGTAGAATCATGGAAGGAAATTGAGATTGCATGGTAAGCGATTCTTTTGTGGGAAAAACGAGGGGAAGAGAGGACTTCCAAGGCATGGAAAGTTGCAAACGACATGTCATGGAAGTGGAGAGAGGAAAGGTAGGAAAGTTTGAGGAGAGCTGTGGATTTGGTTGAGAGGTCAGTGGATTTGATTTCTTTACGGATTTCTTCCAGGGCTTTGGAAATGAAAGCTTGTTCACCGATCAGTTGTTGTCTTAGGCCCTTGATTAGGTCCTCTAAAGTACGTTGAAACAGGGAATCCATCAGTGATGGACCTGACATTGCAAATACGGCGGAAAAAGAGATTTGGGTGTTTGACAATTTCGGTTTATTTGATAGAGTATGGCATTGGAATTTGGGAGTATTTTGGGTTGGGGGAATGAAGGGCAGAAACAACCTTTCTGGGAATACTTTTCAGGGAATTTTGGGTTGAAGTGGGAAGGGGTGTTTTTTCTTTTTTCTTTTCTATTTTAATGAGAAAAAACGACAAGGGATGATAGGCTTCGTCATGGTAATTGGATACAAATGTGACCAAAACGGGTTTGTTTGGTTATTGGGAAAATGCTAGGAAAATTGAGGATTTTTTTGTACATGGAAGATGTTTTACGATGAAAATTGAAACAAAGATTAACATCCGAATCAAAGGTATTTGTCAATCATATTAGTTATATTATATTTTTTATTATTTATTATCATAAAACTAATTATCTCTTGGTTCCATTAAATCTCTTTAATTTTTACAAAATTTTAAAGACAGTGATATCATGTGTTTAATATTAAATTTTTAATTCTTTCATAAAATTAATGTTTTATGATTTTTTAATATTAAAATTTTAAAATAAAAATAAAAAATAATTTTAGAATAAAAAAGTTTTTAATATTTAAAAATAAAGAATAAATAGTTTTGGAATATAAATATATGAACAAATAAAAATGAGTTAAAAAAGTAATTAATTGATATTAGTGCAGATCATCTAGTTTCGTATGTTTTGTTAGAAAATTTTATAATATTTCATTTAATTGATATTTGATTATATTTAAATTTAGATTGATATATGTAATTAAGAGAAAGTAATTAATAATGTAAAATTATTAATTTTAAATAATAATTTTTTATTGTAAAAGAATTTGATAAAAAAGTTGAAGAAGTAGATGATACAATTCTTCTTTATTAAGATAAGATTAATAATTTAAAACTTCAAGTTTATTCAAGATTTACTCGTTGTTAAATCTTAGACAAATTAAGGAAACAAACAAAAGTTACAAATAGATTTAAAAGCCATGAGACAATATAACTAAGCATTTTTTATGTCAAATAACCAAGTAGCTATTGTTGAATTAAATGAGTTATAAAGTTATGCAAAAAATGTTAATTGGAAATTTTCAAACTAAAAAAACTAGACAATCTTTAACATACTACTTTTGAATGTGAGACAAATCTTAAAAAAATAAGTTATAATCTTTTTAATTTAAAAAAGATTCTATGCATATAAATGCTAACATTTCAATGCATAATTATGTAAATATAATATGTGAAAATATATTAAAAACTCTAAATAAATTCAAACAAGCTATCATCTCTTTAACAAATCAACATTTTTACCTAGTTCCATTAGCATTATATGCCATTGTCATGCACCAAAGTCCAAAAGCATATAGTTCACTTTAGATCCCAAGCAATCATATAACCAAGCTTTAATCTCCCATCAATGGTGGTGGAAAAGATAAATTGTTCATATATAAAAGGTATTGAAGTATAATGAGAATAAGAAATGAAAATTTTCAAAAAAAAATGCTAAAATCCTACAACCTAACAATGAAAGAATACATAGAAACAACAAATAGTGTACTAAGCTAATAATAATTTCTAAATGAGGTTTACTTGAATTTTTTTTTTATAATGAGGGCAAATAAAAGGTTTTGAAGTATAATGAGAATAAGAAATGAAAATTTTCAAAAGAAAATGCTAAAATCTTGTGGCCTAACCATGAAAGAATACATAGAAACATAAAATAGTGTACTAAGCTAATAATAATTTCTAAATGAGGTTTACTTGAATTTTTTCTTTATAATTAAGGCAAATAGAATATATAAGAGCTTTACAGCCTTCAAATGTTTAATGTTCACATTCAACTATAATGTCCTATACTTGCCAAACATGAAATTTCAATATAAAAAAAAAAAACAAATTCTTTTTTAATTTTCAAAAATTAAACAAAGCCAAAAGTTGATACCTTTATCATCTTATCATCACTATATGTAGCAATATGTAATAGCTTGTTAGAATAAGCAAATGCTATATTATTAACACTTTCAACATGGGCATCAATCTATAAAATATAATAATAGGTTGTTAATGACCTTATCTGTTGTTCTTCTCAAAAGATATTTGATATGTGTTGTGATGATCTTTGCTCCAAATGTTGTCTTAATTCTCTAATTGTATTGCAAAAGTATATCTGAAATATATGCTTCGAAAATGCAAAACTTATAATAAACAAAATTTAATTCAAGAACTGTATACAAAAAAACATATATGTTTTGAAATGAAAAGACTATGTTTTGCTAAAATAGTTAATACTATTTATTTTTTGAATTAAAAAAAGCATACATGACAACATTCAATATAAAAATATTACTAATAAGAGTAGTATATTTTTTAAAACAATGCCAACCTTTTAGAACAAAAAGATTATATTTCATTAAAGATATACTGATTGCTTTCCTACTTAATATGTTGAACTGAGAAATGTTGAACCAAGGATTCCTTAAACCCTAAACTCTAATCAACTACGAAGCATATGTGTATCTTGAAAATTAATGAACAAAAAGCTTACTTAAATCATCAATATTAAAAAAAAAAATAAAACTATATAATATCATAAAACTTTAAAAAAGCATATAGGCATACAAGGAATATCAACAAATAAAAAACTAATGAAAATGGCAAATAAACCCTTAAAACTTAAACATCATATAAACATCATATATTCTTTCTAGTTATAAATGGAGCACATGCATACTACACAATTAATTACATTCAATGACGAATACACAATTAAGTAACCATCTCATTAACAAACCAAATTGAACAATATAATGAGTTTTCAAAGAGACGTTCAGCACTCTAAATTGTTAGTAAACTCACTTAATCCCTAATAAATGAGACAAACTTGAAAGATAAATCCATCAAACAACATAAATGCAATAAAACCATCACAAAACTCAAAATTTCTTTATAAATTTTCTCTTTTAATTGAGATAATAAAATAAAGGAATGAAATTTGAAAATGAAAAGTAACATATTAAGAAAATAGAAACAAAAAGCAATTACTATGAAGAAAAGAGGAAAATTCTTTTGTACTTATGATTTTTTTTACAAAAATAGAAACCCATAAAAGAAGCATGAATGCAAAGTCAAGAAATCAATAAAAAATTAAAAATTGATATTCTAGATCAATACAATGGAAAAGGGAGAGTCAAAAGACAAAAACTAATGAAACAAAAAATAAAAACAACAAAGTGATACTAATAACCCAAAAAAAAAAAAAAATATATGAGTAATCTAATTGCTTTCTAACATAAGCAATCCATGCTTAAAAATAAAGGACTATCACGTTAATAAAATATTTTTTTAGAAAAAAAAAAAGAAAGAAAATTAAAAAAAAAAACACTCGAGCATTTGACTTAATGGTATACGTATTCCCTACTTTTAAAATATAGTTTGAATGCATCTTCCCCCAAATCAAAGAAAAATAAAAAGAGAATGGAGCAAGTGGCAAACTAACATAATAGCAATATATTATTTTGGTATTACGATAGTTTGATATTTTGAAATAATAGTAATCTACCACAACAATAAAGTGATATTATGGAGAAAATATTGATAGTTTAAAATGCCACATAGGTTTTTTTTTGAGAATGTGTAATGCCTGTTCAAAATAAGCAATTCAAATCTACATTTCAAAGCCATTTTTCTACTTCACATTAAGAGTGTAAATGCTACATTAGTACTTGCAAACTACTCAAGTTTGACTTGAATAAAACTCAAATTTGGTTAAATTATTATCAAGTCAAGCTCGAGCTCGAGTAACTCGATTTATCGATTGAGTCGAGTTTGATCATTCTTATATCTGACTCAAGTAGCTCGCGAGCCTAATCGAGCTTTTATATTTTTATATATTTTAATTATTTTAATTGATAACATATCTCGAACTTGAATTCGAGCTCGAACATAAATAATCAAGTTTTTATTGAATATAAGAATCAAGCTTATTTTTACATGTTAATTAAGCCTAATCAAATGAGCTCGAGTAGTTCAATTTTTATCTCAAGTTGAGGTCGAGTTAAAAAAATAAAATTAAATTAAGTTCGAGCCAAGTTTCGAGCCTTGAATTTGGAGTCGAGCTCGAGCTTAATATTGTATCACCTCGAACTCGATCGATTACATCCTTACTTTACACAATCAACAATACAACAAAGTAGATATAGAAAACCTTAAAACTTGATTGAGTTCGAGCTGAGTTTCGACCCTCGAATTTGGAGTCGAGCTCGAGCTTCATATTGTATCGGCTTGAACTCGATCAATTATACCCCTACTTCACACAACCAACAATACAACAAAACAGATATGAAAAACCTTAAAGCCATTATGCAAGGTATGACCTAGAAGAATCCATTCCTTGATCAACTCTGCTAATTTCTTCTGAACAATCCAAAATTCATTTGTTGTAAAGACAAAAAAATATATAGCACACTCAAAAGTTTTTCCATAAAGCAATCATATCCTTTATACTTTACAACACTTTGACAAATGTTTTTAAACTTGACATTGATTTTTTTTTTCAAACAAGAAACAAAGTTGAGTTTCAACTTTCATATTTATAATATAAATTTTAAACATTTAGTATTTGATAAATATATTACATTATTATAGTTTAACATCAATAACAAAAAAGAATATACTTTTCTAAATCAAAAGCAAGATTGTTTCTCTTTTTGAACCATATATAAAAATTTTCATAAAATATATAAAATCAAAAATAAATGGCAAACATATATGCTATAAAAGGCTTACCTATTGCATATTAAAAAACTTTTCATCTTTTTTCTTTGTCTCTATAAAGAAAGAGTAACCTCTTAATCTCTACCAATAACAATCTAATATTTACCTTAAAATTAAAACCCAAATCAACAAATAATCCCTTAAACTATACAAAATCAAAACTAAATGGTAAGCATATATGCTATAAAGGGCCTACCTATCACATATCAAGAACTCTTTTATCATTTTTCTTTGTCCTTGCAAACCTTGAGAAACATTTCAATCTCTACCAATAAAAAATCTAATATTTAACTTAAAACTAAAAACCCAAATCATAGAATATTAAAAAACTTGTAAAAATGAAAAAAAAAAAAAGATAAAAATACTCATTTGCCAAATCTAAAAATGCCATGAACCTAAAGCAAACCATCAACATTGATCCCATTTGAATCTTTTCTCTTTACCTCTATACTAGCATTAATTCAAAGCTTGAGAAAAATCTTTCGAAAACTCAAAAGAAAGGGAAAAAAGTTTTAACACAAAAACTTTTGCTTTTACATTTTTTTTCAAACTTAA